ATTTCAATGACGCCAACTTAAGTTGTCTCTCGTGAGGGCTGGACACTGCAAATAACCCTTTGAGCACCCCCGTTGCCCCCCACCCTCCTGTCGCTGAGCCACATCCATGACACACACGTGTACCCATGTGCGTGCGCACACACACGCAGACAGTGCTTCAGGATGGTTCGCGAGAGTGAGTTTCACCACCCACCCAACTCCCATCCATTCTTTGATAACATTTTCTCAATCATACGCAAATGTAGCTTTAAGCCGCCCTCCAACCATTTTGCCACCCCCAAAACATTCCTTTATATAAATTCTGGTGCCTCCTTGGGCTTTAGTTTTGCCAGCAGGAGGGTGTCAAACATTTTCAACTCTGATTTAGTTTTGTCTACCAAGGAGAAGAAAGCATGATTTCCTGTCTGTGTAACCATGCCGCCCTATGCCATCGCTCTGGTGGCCAAGAATGACCTTCACTGGACATCAGTATTGCCAACTTCCAAGTCTCACGTGCTGCATTCCACTTCCCTTCTCTACCATAATCAATCTTTTTTCCTTAATGAAAAACACACTCCCATCAATAAAACATGCAAGCATCTTGCTATCTGCACTGTGGGGACCCTACTTCACTTTGCATGTGAATTTATTCAGATTAATCACTCCTGAAAATGTCATTTTCACTCAGAGCAATTCCCACTCTCAAGTTTTTCTTCTCCCCAAATTGTCATAAACTCTAAGTGGCACTTTGCAAATGGTTTGCCATTTTCATCGAAACTTTTCCATAGCATTCATCTCCTCAGGTCCTGTAACCGAGCGACTTTGGGGTAACATTGAAAACTTTCCTGTTGCCTAGTGGCGCATAGAAACTGATTTTGTTTTTTCTCTACCCAGACACAGCCAACCTCAGAGCTAATCCTCCAGCTGTCATGTGAATAAACGGGGTTACACGTTCGCCCAGCATGCCTCTGAGCTAATCTGGGCAATCATGCTCCCTACAGCTGTCTTTGAGAATCTTGAAGTTCCAGGAAGAACAGAAAGGGACTGTTGGACAAATGGGTGGTCGTGACCTCTGAGAGTCAGGACAGCAGCAGAGATGTCACCTCCATGGCACCCATGTTGAGACAAAGCACCAGGACCTCCGGAGATGGTGCCTCCAAGGGTCAGAGTTAAGACCTTCTTTCTGCTCCCAATCTGATTTTTTAATAATTCCTAATCAGAAAACTCTTTACCAGGGCTCAGATTGCCCTGGGCTTAATTTAACAATTCTGTCAATTCTACTTCTCTTCCTTTTGAGTTCATGCTATATCCTGGAGGATGTTACGATTTGCCTGAGTTTCAAAACCCACAAAGATGCTCCTTAAGAGGACAATTCTCCTAGAAAAGAGCATTTTATTAGACATTCATAGAGCTGTGTTGAACTTTTTAAGAGAGAGACCTATCAGTTTGACTTTACAGCTGGTGATAGAATTTAATATTCATCTTTAAAATAACTGGAAAAATTGAGGTGGTTTATGAATTCCTATCATATATCATGAAAATTTGAATTTCTATTACAGTTAATTACAAGGCCTGTCTCTCGTCCATACAGCTGTCATGTTAATGACAAGCTTAGTATTTTAGCAGTGGAACCTCATTGTAGAAAATGCAGCAAGACAGAAGTCTCTAGTTGAATAGAATGAAGGGTCCAGGGAAAAAGCTTGCCTGGGCTCCCTTTCCCATCAGGGATGCTCTCAGGGCATCGGTGGCCTGGCTTCTATATCCCCATGGTAACTGGTCTTCCAACCTTTATTCCCATCTAGGCTTCCATCTCTGCAGACAACGCACAAAATCCCAAGTGTGGGTTGTCCTTTCTCCCTGACTCTTCTCCGTTAGCCACACCCTCCTTCATTCTATCTTCGGATAATCCTGACCCCCAGAAAAAGTGATTTCCACTCAAACCAATATTCCAGATGTATGAGATGAAGCCCAGAACAATCACCAGTGATCAGAAACAAAACCTGCTTTTATTGTGCTCGAGAAACATACAAAAACAGAGAAAGTGCTGAAAAAGGTAGGCAAGCCACATGGACCCAGAGACCCTTGGGATAGGAAAATTAATTTAGCAAGGAGTTTACAGAGTTAGTTGTTGAGACAGAGCATAAAAACCATTATAACAAGACCCTACTCATTATCATTATCTAGTGGCGGAGCTGGGGATAAAGGTATCTCCTGAGAATCCATCCTTCATATTTTGCACATTTTCCTTCCACCCATGGAATCTGTGGCATGCGGTTGCCCAGTCCTCTTCCCTAATCACTAAAGTTTCCTTTCAGAGAAAGATTTACTAAAATCTCTCACATTTCAGTGTGAATCAGCTGCTTCTCCCTCTCCCTCTCTTTCTCCCAAGGGTATCCGCATCCCCAAGCCACATTCTTATTATAGGCTGAAGAGTTTTCTCCCCGGAAGGAATTCCTGACTTAAAGAGCAGGTGAAGGTGATCTTTTGGGAACAGAGTGACCCACCCTCTTGAAACTGCCCAGTATCTGGATTTTAAATGATGAAATCATATAAAGCTAAGGAAAAGCATGCTATGTTTGGGCTCAAGGTTCCAATAACCTTATTTTACATGAATTTTTAAACATTTACTTTGAAATTAATGAGAGTGAGGTTTGTCTCCCAAGTATCTGCAGCAAGCAGTGTGGTAAGATTCTTCCCTGAGATTCAATATTGTTAAAATGGTCATACTGTCCAAGGCAATCTAGATTTAATGCAATCCCTATCCAATTACCCAGGACATATTTTTTAGAACTAGAACAAATCATAATAAAATTTATATGGAATCACAAAAGACCCAGAATTGCCAAAGTATTACTGAAGAAAAAGAATGAGGCTGGGGAAATAACTCTCCCAGACTTCACACAGTACTACAGAGCTACAGTAACCAAAACAGCATGGTACTGGTACAAAAACAGACATACGGATCAATGGAACAGAAGAGAGAGCCCAGAAATGAACCCACAAACTTTTGGTCGATTAATCTTTGACAAAGAAGGCAAGAACATAGAATGGAATAAAGACAGTCTCTTCAGCAAATGGTGTTGGGAAAACTGGACAGCAGCATGTAACTCAGTGAAGCTAGAACACTCCCTCACAGCATACACAAAAACAAACCCAAAATGGCTTAAAGACTTAAACATAAAACAAGACACAATAAATCTCCTAGAAGAAAACATAGGCAAAACATCTCACATACATCTCGGCAATGTTCTTCTAGAGCAGTCTACCCAAGAAATAGAAATAAAAGCAAAAATAAACAAATGGGACCTAATTAAACTTATAAGCTTTTGCAAAGCAAAGGAAACCATAAGCAAAACAAAACGACAACCTATGGAATGGGAGAATATATTTGCAAAAGATGAGACTGACAAGGGCTTGATTTCAAGAATATATAAACAGCTCATATGACTTAGTAAGAAAAACAAACAAACACCTTAATCCAAAAATGGGCAGAAGACCTAAACAAGCAATTCTCCAAGGAAGACATACAAATGACCAATAGGCACATGAAAAACTGCTCAAATATCACTTATTATCAGAGAAATGCAAATCAAAACTACAATGAGGTATTACCTCACACCAGTCAAAATGGCCATCATTCAAAAATCCACAAATGACAAATGCTGGAGAGGGTGTGGAGAAAAGGGAACCCTCCTACACTGCTGGTGGGAATGCAGTTTGGTGCAGCCATTGTGGAAAACAGTATGGAGATAAAATAGACTTACCATATGACTCAGCAGTCCTACTCCTGGGCATATATCCAGAGGATACCTTAATTCAAAAAGACACCCACACCGCAATGTTCACAGCAGCACGACTTACAATAGCCAAGACACGGAAATAACCTAAATGTCCATTGACAGATGACTGCATAAAGAAGATGTGGTATATTTATACAATGGAATACTACTCAGCCATAAAAATGATAAAATAATGCCATTTGCAGCAACATGGATGGCCCTGCAGAATGTCATTTTAAGTGAAGTAAGCCAGAAAGTGAAATAAAAATACCATATAATATCACTCATATGTGGAATCTTAAAAAAAAAAAAAAGACAAATGAACTTATATATAAAACAGAATCAGACCCAGACATAGAATACAGACTTGTGGTTGCCAAGGGGGAGTGGGGTAGAAAGGGATAAACTGGGAGTTCGAGATTTGCAGATACTGACTGGTAATGTATAAAACAGATAAACAAGTGTATACTGTACAGCACAGGGAAGTATATTCAATATCTTGTAGTAGCTTATGGTGAAAAAGAACATGAAAATGAATATATGTTAAAAAAAAAAAAGATTCTTCCCTGAAGTCTTTAAAAACAAAAGAAGCCTAGAAGCACATGTACTATAGGGTTTACAAATGTAACAACTCTAGGGCTGAAATGGCCCCTATATATTTTAGCTTATATCAAAACTGTCAGACGAAGATCTGTGGAAAAGGGAGTGAGAGGATGTAGAAATAGGCAGAAAGAGGATGACCAGTATAGAGATATTCATGGAGAATTCTTTACAACCACTCATTTAATTGTGATTATAGTCAAAAACTTTCTGTGATGATGGAAATGCTCTTGGTCAGAGCTGTCCAAGATGGTAGCCAGGAGCTAAACGTGGCTACGGAGCATTGGAAAGCTAGCTAATGTGGCTGAGGAGCTGAGTTCTTAATTTTAATTAATTTAAAATTAGTTTTAAATAGGTAATGGCTAATGGCTACCATACTGCACAGTACGGGTCTAACAGTTACTGCTTTCACATGTAATTTTAAGAATGCTTTGTACCAGTGAACTCTCTCCAGGAGGTACTGATGGAACTCTTGGTGTAATGCAGTCTTCAGCTGTGAACAGTTTATTTACTAAAGACACAATTTATGACTCACTCTGACCCCCACCCCAACCCCATTTCCCAAGGTACCTAGGATCGGTGCCTCCCTCATTCCTCCAGGGTAAGTCCGCAACGCCGGCTCCTGGAAAGAAGTGCACTTACCCTCACCCAGTGGGAGTTCCTCCTCCTGCTCGCTGGGGGAAGGCAGCAGGGGCTGCAGGGGCTCCATGTTAATGATAAGCTGTTTGTTCAAGGAGTGGGAACTGCGGCTCTGAGTAATGTTGGCTCTGAAAACACACACAAGCCAGAAGGAATTGTTTCCACTGGGAACACAGGCCCCTCCATCTCAGTTGGCTGCCCAAGCTGGGAACTGCTCGAGACTCACCCAATGGATGAGGTCAGTGGTAAAGATGACATAACCCTCAAAACACACAGTCGTTTTTATCCTTAAGGTCCTGATGTGTTCGAATGGCTATGTGTTCTAAAGCAACACAGTGAAAGAAAACATGTTTCCCCATCAGTCATCAGACTTGCACATGCTATATGACAAGACAAGGCATGGAAAAAAGACATGGGAAACCAAAAGACAGGGGAGGCAGGAATCACTGAGCTAGATATGCAGAAAACTGAATGAAGGATGTGGCTCAAAGTATTTGAACAGTCACCAAAAAACACAAAAACAATACCCCCTGCCTGGCAGATAGCAAAGGCATTCCACAGCTATGAGCTATCCTGGTGTTGCTGGATGTCCAGCATGTAACAGCAATGTTTAATATTCCCATTCAAATTCACACCTCACTCACCAACCAGCCACAGAGCCCAGCTCTGCTTTCTTTCTTTTCAAAGGAGCACACATATGTCAGTAGTTGCCACGGGCAGCACATGGCAAAGACACTGTGCAGGTGTCTCATGAAGACTGTCAGCTGACAGCCAGGAAGCCCACTCTCTGCACTGACAGAAAGGGAGGCGGGGCGCCTTTGGTGGGTGTTTCAGTGCCCCTCCCATCCCCATATTTCCTGTCAAAACCCAAACCAACTTACCCTTCAAAGATGATGTCAAATATCTCCTCCTTGAAGCCCTCCTGGATTGCCTTCACAACTAATCCTTGCCCCCCCACTACTGTCCCTTCTTTTACAACTCACTGCATTTGTCACCTCTATCTCTTTGTAATTACTGCTGTACTAATCAGCCCCACCTTGCGAAGCACCTTTATTTTAATGCCCATAACAAAACCTAGAAGTCGGGCAAAGATGTTTGAATCTCATTTGATAGATGAACAAACTGATGATCTGGGAAGTTAAGTGACATACCCAAGACACACAACACAGCCACACAGCCAAGATGAGACCCATTTATGACTCCTAGACAGGTGCTTGTTTCAGGTATAAGCACTGCCTCTGGGTGTCCCCCCGCTGGCTCACAGTCAGCCCTCTAGCTCACTGGGCCCTGGGATGGTGATTCTCACCAAGTGGCCACCAAGAGAACTTTGCTTGGGGATCTTGTCATCAGCAAAGATCTGTAAGCTAACATGAGAGTGAGCTTCTCCTTTTGGGGAAAAAAAAAATCTCAAGACAATGTTCTTAGTCTGTCTGTGTCTGTCTCTCTGTGTGACACACATCTCAGCAGAAGTAGGAGTCAAAGAACCGGTTATTCTTTGAAGAGAAGAATCTCAAATGAGAGGAAAGACAGCTAACTGAAGTCTTATCATCACCATTCCACACCAGCAGTCCTCTCTGAGCACTGCCAGAGGAGAGCTCATTACTTATTCTCACTTTTGACAGCCACACCAAAGAAGTCAAAACAACTCGAAAATACAGTAATTGTTCAAGAGGAACAATTTCCTACCATGCAGCCAGCTACTGGGAAGGAACACAAAGTTGCTACTTTGAAAGCGGCACACGTCACCCCAGCTCTGACCACAGTGCTGCCTCTTGGGAGGGGGAGGGCCCCAGGGCAGCACCACGGACAGATCTCAGGTCTCAGAAAATTACAGAGAAAAACTACAGCTGCTGTCAGCCCCCACTCCTAGTTCACACAGTCATTCAGCAGATATGCACTGACTTCCTACTATGTGCCAAGCACTGTGTTAGGCGATGGGTGAGATGGAGACGACCAAGACAGGCACAGACCTTGTCCGCCCGGAGGTTACTTTGCATCATTTCTTTAAACAAATTCGTCCTTGTAATATCAGAGACTTTAGAGAATCAAAGAACTGAGGACCAGAGAGGCATCCTAAAGATGTGAACACAACAGGCTTTCACAAATACGAAAAAGGAGGGTAGTGGAAGAGCAAGAAACAGCAGATACGAATTTGCAGTAATATCTTGGGAGCTTTCAGAAGATTTTCAGCAAAAAGAAACCTATAAATTGATAGATGCCTCATCTCCCATCCCCTCTGGTGGTTTGGTCCACTCCAGGAAAAGCTTTTCACTAGGGCCAACCTGCCCCTTCACCTCCTCCACCACCAGTTACGTAGAGCCTGGCTATTCAAAGTGCGAACCATGAACCAGCCACACGGCCACCATCTGGGAGCATATTAGAAAAGCCAGATTCATGAATCAGAATCTGATTTTAACAGGATCCCTAGGTAATCCCTGTACAAGTTACATTTTGGAAGCCTTGATCTAGGACACCTTGATTCCCATAAATTATGCAAAACCTTAATTTAAAAGAGGAGTATTTTAAAAAATTATTTTCTGATCTCATTAACCACTCATAGATGGAAACTGCGGGCTTGTGGAAAGCTTTATATAATTGGAATATGTCTCTCTGAAAGCATACTGCTAAAAACAGTTTCCTATTTTGTGTTTGTGCCCTCAAGAGAACTCCCCGGAATCGAATATTTCTTTTATTTTAAGATCAAACACTCAAGCTCCAAGTCAGAAGAATAAAACCCAAGCCGAGCCCCCAGGGTAGTTCTGTCCCCCAGCTTCGAGGAGAATGCGGGGGCTTTCAGGGTGGCAAAAGCTACGAAGAGCACAGGATGCTGGAGTTCTGGGCTTAGCTGTGCCACCAAAACATTCATGACCTCGGATAAATCAATTCCTTCCTCCGAGAGCCAAGTTCCCTTGTCTATAAAATAGAAGCTCAAGCGAAGTGAGCCCTGAGGTCATTTATAGACCAAAGATTCTGGAAACGTTCAAATGACATGTTCTATCATTTCCTCTTGTTTGTTGCTGCTGCACTGAATAATCACAGTCTGAGGTGGAGGAGGGGCATTAAAAAGACTTTTTTTAAAAATGACTTGTTATCAATGGTTAGGCTCTAAGACTTTCCCAGGTACTACACCAAGTTGTCCCAGCCGAGGCGCTCCCAGATTCCCTTACCCCACAGTTTCCCCCTACTTCTCAAAGCTGAAAAGACTGTTTTGCATACTTGCATGTGACAGCTTCCCTCTGGGTCACAGTGGGGCCAGGGATGAATTATTCTCTGTGCACATCTACACAGGATTTCGTGCCAACCACAGTCTGCTCACCTGCCTAGATGCCCACACCAGCTGACTTGGCTACACTTCCGAGAGACCACCGCCCGCTCCTGCCCGACAGCACCGAGGACAGGGTGGGAGGCACCCAGCTCACTGGGTCACCCTGGAGACGGAAGAGACTGGGCAAATCTGAGCATAAAGGAAACTCCTCCAAGTTCGAAGATGGGGAAGGAAGGACAGGTGCCAACCAGTGTGTGGGAACTTCCTAAAGAATCCATCTTATGATGATCTTGCCTTCAAAGGGGCAAACATCAGGATGAGAATGTTCGGCTAGAGATAGTTAGCATGTTTGAAGTTTAGGATGTACAATGATTTGTGTAAACTGTGGCGATAAGAAGTCAACATGATCAAGAGAATATTTAATTCCTAAGAATTACATATTTTGCCATGTTACTGTAGATGGGTACCCTTGACCCACTAATGACTAAGTTCCTCATTCCTCTGAGTGACTTTTGGGGGTAAACGGTCCAATGAGAGATGAGAACCCCATCCCCTCGTGTGAAAGAGCCTAGAAGGGGTCAGGCCAGTGGGAACTGGCCACGTCTGACGAACAGAGGCAGGAACAGAGAACAGTTCTAAGAAGACATGAAAATGGACACGGCCAGGAGATAACACAGCCATGCCCCCACACTTCCTCCTTGTTCATGTGACGCACCAGGCCAATGACTCCCCACAGAGCAGGAATGGAGCTCAGAATGGAGCCCAGCCAAATCTAGGCGAGATTTTGAGGACGATCAGAGTGCCACTCCCAGAACCAGGGCCGAAAACGACATAGAGCCAGGCAGCTTGTGCCCTCACTCCATTTCTCGTTATAGACGACTTGGCAAAGCCAGACTTTCAACCCTTCTGTCCACCCCAGAAACCTCCCGGAGCCCTGGGGACCACCCCACTCACCTGTGCACCTCTGGAGGCTCCCTCTGGATTTTGGAGCTCGCCTCCACCACCTCTTTGGCAACTTTACCGCTGCAAAAAACAGAAATAGATAGGCGTCTGTGCATGGACACTCAGAACAGAAGGGCAGGGGTGTGCACACTTTTCTTTTTAAAACTTCACAATGGTCTGACCCAGCTCTAGGAATCCAAGCCTTCTCTGCCTTCACGAGGGGACATTACGTCAGAGTTTAAGGGGTCCCGTGGGCACAAGAGATGAGTGGAGTGGAAAGGGAGGACCAAAACAGGGTACAGGCCATAGTGCACTGATTCACAAGCACAATATTCCAACATAAATGGCGGCCCCCAGCCCAGCCCCATCATTGAAATGGAACCCTGGGTACCCACCTGTATCGAAATCTACTTCCTTTAAAAAATATCTTGCTGCTTGACACCGTCTTGATCTGACTGGATTTTGCATACCTTTAAGAAAAAGCAGAGCAGAGATGACAATGACATTGGAAAGTCCAAACAGGACATGCTACAGAATGTGGTAATTGGAGATTTTTGACTGCCAACAAAGAAATGCATTTTATTGTATGACTCAGCACACACACATCCCTGGAAGAAAAGTTCCACAAAAGAAAAGTTACTTTCACTAAGTGCATTGCAATCTGATCTTTTCTACGCCAACTCTTTTTATTCTTTTTATACGCTGCTGGTGAGCCATGCATTTGGTTATGTCCTACAAAAAGGATCAGGCAATATTGATGATCAGGAGGAATTCTCTGCCAGTTTCTGTTTGAGTGATACGGAGTGGGTGGCTGGACCCCAGGGCATCACTAAGTCCCTCGCTGCCCGGGCACTTCTGTGCCTGTATCTATATCAACACTGCAGCAGAAAACAGCTTCCCGGTGACACAGGTCACTCACCATGTCACGGAGAATCCACCTACTGTTATTTTCTGAGGGAGGGCACGAGGGGCCCTTGTCACCATGGAAATGGTCACTGGCTTCCGAATATGCCGGGGTTAAGTCACCATGACCCAGTGCCCTTTAAAAGAACCCGCGCTGGTAGATGACTAAGATACACGAGGAACAGGAGCCCAGCCAAGCACTGATTCAGCACCTCTGAGCCCTTCCCGTAAATACGAACAAAACACCACTCTGGACAACAGTCCTGAACAGAGCCCGCCCGGAGGCCGCACACAGGGCCCTTAATTACAGCGACGGCCCGGGACGCCTGCACGCCAGTCACTTCAAGCCTTACGGGATTGAATCCAAGTTAGAAAGACTAGGTCTCCCAGAGTTCACGATCATTTTTAACTATTGATAGTTACAAAATCTTCATAAAAAAATAAACACAGAACAGTGTGCTCTATGGAATTCTAAAGAAACACAAGCACGTAGTCAGGGCTGCGGCTGAGTGTCAGGGCAGGCAGTGACCCCCACCCCAGAGCCTCTGAGGCCTTGGTTCATTCGTTCAGCCTGGTTTGCCCAGTGCATCACGCTAAGCTCGGGGAAGACACGCAGACTTTGCATTCATGGAATGTAAGGTCCAGAGAGGAAATGGATATTAATCTAGAAACCCCGCAAAAAAGTGAACAAACGTAAATTATGAGCCGTGGTACTTACTGCAGAGGGAAAGGTGCCATGAGGTTACGGGGGTGGGAGGCTGATCTGGTCTGGGGGCCACGGCAGTGCCTGAGGAAGGGACCTCTGAGCTGAGATCCAGGGGAGGGGATGGTGTTAACTCGGCAGGTGGTGGGTGGGTGGCACTCTGAGCAGAGGACCAGGCAGGCAAAGCCCTGAGCCTGAGCACTGGGGGATCCAAGATGAGCAGGTGTGCATTTCCCCATGCCGTTATCACAACTGTTGTTACACACACACACACTCTCACATGTTTTTCCCAATTTAGCAGGACCTGACCTTGAACTGTCCTTGTTAAAGATTTGGTCTTTGTCCCCAGAACAACTTAAAGCCACAGTAACACTCGTTTACAAACAGCCTGAACCCACAGAGGAGGACACTGGGTACAAAGGACGAGTCCAGAGAGTAAGACGGGCAGGTGAGGGGGATGCCCATCAAGGCAGGGCCCCGAGAAGACAGCAGGGGGCCCTGGGGACAGGCAGAGCACATGGGACCCACAGCCCCGAGGCAGCAGGCCAAAGCCAGGTTCCAGAGCACACCCAGGCAAGACGAGAACGTTCCCCAGTAAGCCCCACCAACATGAGAGAGCACCCGCTGCATCCTCCTCCTGTGATCCTGTGAGGATGGCCCGTCCTGGGCCTGTTTCTCCCCCGACCCCAGCCCTAGAGGGCTGTTGGCCTGACACAAAATCTACCGGAATCTGAGAGAAGGACCATCACCGGTTACCTCTCCCCAGCTTCTGGGCAGGGCTGTTGCTCCCAAGGCCTCAGAGGTGGGGGGAGGGGGTGGCGGTAGCGGGTAGAGAAATTCCTAAAGAAGTTTCTGCTTTTTTTGTTTTGTTGTTACTTTTCCAGATTCCTCAGGATCCTCAGGGCAAGGTAGCCTGCTAAAAAGATTATTAGGAGTCTGTTTTAAAATTGAGGTATAGCTGATTTACAGTGTTGATTTAGTGTCTGGTGTACAGCATAGTGATTCAGTTGTATATACATAATCTTTTTACCAAAGGGAAAAGAGGGGAGGGATAAATTAAGAGTTGGGGATTAAGAGATACACACTACTATATATAAAATAGATAAACAACAGGGTCCTACTATATAGCACAGGGAACTACATTCAATATCTTATAAAAACCTATAATGAAAAAGAATATAAAAAAGATTATTAAAAGTCTTAATTGTAGTTTTTGAAATTCAGATTCAACTCTGCACCTTTTTAATGGAAGATAGCAGAAGCTTAAAGGGGTGAGGCTAGCATAGCAATTCCAGGGACCCTCCTGGCTACACGGGGCTCTTCTGGGGGAGAAGGGGCTGCTCTGTCTCTCACGATTCAGCCCCAGCTCCTTGCAGGGCCCACGCGGAGGCCACTGCCTTCGCCTTACACGCAGAACAGCCTCTTGGCAGGAAGCCTCAGCGCTCCACTGCATCCGCACAGACCCTCCAAGTGCCTCCAGAAAACCGCGTCAGAATGCACATTTCACTATCTGCTCATGATGAGAGAAAGTAAAAAAAAAAAGAAAAAAAAAGTCTCAGCTTCTTCCTGACAACTGATTGCCCTCAACAATCATTTGTGTGATTTCATTTGTTCTGGGACACTCTGCTGAGAGCATTACCACCCATGCCCTGCCTCCCTAAACATCCAGGCGGATGCCTGATAATACTTGGGCTGAGATCTTAAATGGAATTTATTCTGAGAGCTGGACCCCACAACCCCCCTGGGAACTGGGAAACAGAGAGTAGGACAGGGGAGATGAACGGGGGCGAGAGGAAGGTGGTTGGGTTACAGGACACACACCTAGTCGTTCCCAAACCTGGCAGCGCAGCAGCAGCAGCCCCCGGAGAAGGGGTCACACACACCAGCTCTTGGGCTCCGTCACTGAACACCTCATCCAGCAGGCCTGGAGCAGGGCCTGGAGCTGTTTTTTTATCAAATACTCCAGGGTCGTTTCAGCCCAGCCTGCATGCACTGGGGAACTTCTGAGTCCCCAGATTCTCCTTTTTTTCCCTGAAAAACACAGGGATTCCTTCCTGCTTTTGGTCCTGTAACCTGGGTCAAGTCACATAGCTTTTCTGAGCCCTAGTTTCTCCACGAACTTTTTCAAGGGTGAGGGTGTTATAATGCCGAATTCATAGTGCTCTGAGAGGGGGTAAATGTGAGTCAATGATTTGAAAACACCTAATGTCCTACCTGCTCATTATGTAACACTTCCCCTCCCCCGCTGCCCATATCACTCTGAGAACCTCCGCTCGGCCTTCTCGCCACTGAACTACCAAAGCCAGTCCTCTCAGTCGTGGTGATTCCAGGGAACCGTGTCAAACACTCTGAAGGCCAGTACGGGCGGCGTCACGCTCTCGCTGACTTGCTCCAGCACTCTGTTCCCAGGTTCTCCCATCTGCGAGCCCGGGGCAAAAGTCTTCCTCCCAGTGAAGGCAATCAAAGCACAACTGAGTCACCGTAGCAATTCTCTCTCCCCCAGCCTACTTCCTGGCCTGCCTCTCCCCAGTTCCAGCTCCAACCCCCACCAAAATCCCAGCACAGAAGCACTGACCCTTCTCACACATCTGACCTCACAGAGAAATCCAGTCCCTGATATACCAACACATGACTTGGCAACACCTGTGTATTCATACGGTGGCCTGGTCACTGCTTTCTCTCTGCTGTCACAGCTCTCCACCACCCCCACCCCAGCACTGCCAGGGCAGAGCCACTGTACCCGGAGACCCCTTTCCCATGGCTCTAGGGAGTTCTGCCCAGTCCTGACACTGAAGGTGCGTTTTAAATGGGGTAACGTATGTGAGATCTGCACACACACGGACAGTGCCCGGAACAGGCAAAGTGTTCACTAAGTGTCAGTATCATACGACGTACACACAGCCAGCTCTATAGTAACACACCGCCCCTCGCCCCCACCGCCAACTTCTCCTCTGGCACCTGCTACTACAGGGGCTGTGGGTGGAGGTCAGGTTAGGTGCTGGGGAGACATGGGTGATGCTCTAAAGGCCACTTCTAGAATTAACAATACGATTTCCCATTTTCCCATGGCTTACAGCTTCTGGAGTAATAGCAATAACAACATATGTTATTATCGGGTACCTCCTCGGGACCCTTTACCATCTAGAGCACCTTAAATATACTAACTCATTGCATCCTCATAGCTCTCTCCTTGGAGGGAGCAATCCCCATTTTCACATGAGAAAACTGAGGCACAGAAGGGGTAAGTCGTTAAACCGTGATCACAATCACAGAAGCCGGAGAAACTGGGCTGCAAATCCAGGCAAATCCAAATCTGTATTATTATAATTTTTTTTGTCTGTATTTTTAAAATAATGCTTTAGTCATGCAGGTTCTCAGACTTCAGGATGCATCAGGATCACCTGAAAGCTTCTGAAAGCACAAGGTTCTGATTCAGTCAGTCTGAATCTGCCTTTCTAACAAGTTCCCAGGAGTTGCTGTGCTACTCTGGGAACCCTAACTTTGAGAATCACCGGATGAGGGCACTTAATCCAGGTTCACGCCACCCGGGAAAGCTTTGTTACTACCAACATCTACACCCCTCACCCCAGATTCTGGACTTTTAAAATAACCGCTTTATCGAAACATAATGCACATAACACAAAGTTCACCCTTTTAGGTTTTACACTTCAGTGGTTTTCAGTATAATTTGCATATATTAAAAATTCACCAAAAAACATTTTCATCACCCCCAGAAGAAGCCCCCTGTACCCACTGGCAATCACTTTCCTCTTCCCCTCATCTCCTCCACTCCCCATCCTAGACGACCACTACCTACTTTCTGGCTCTTAGACTTGCCTATGCTGGGTATTTCATGTAAACTGAATCATATAATATATAGTGTTTAGCGACTGGCTTCTCTTCACTTAGCACAATGTTTTCAAGTTTCATCCATGTTGTAGCACGAATCAGTAAGTACTTCCCCCCTTTTATGGCTGAATAATATTCCACTGTGTGGACAGACCACTTTCTTTTATCCTTTCATCCATTGATGGACATTTGGGCAGTTCCCACGTTTTAGCTCTTATGAATAACACTGCTGTGAAGACTTATGCACACGTTTTTTGGTGAGGACCCAGATTCTGATTTAACTAGGTCTGGGGTAGGGTCCACATTTAAACAATGGTAGTATTTCAAAGCTCCCCTGGGTGATTCTAATGTGCAGTCAGGCGGAGAGCCTCTGGTTTAGAGGCTTATTACCCAAGTGTGGTCCACGGGACGGCAGCTTAGCATCACCGGGGAGCTTATTAGAAACACAGACTCTCATGCCCCACTCAGACCTGCTGAACCAGAATCCACGTGCTAACAGGATCTCAATTCACATGCTCACTAAAGTGTGAGAGGCACCAGTTTAGGGAGATACTCCGGGTCCTTGTCTATGTAGTGTCGTGCTGTTGATTCGAAAAAATGTACACAGACTCTGAACAAGAAATTTATAGGGACAACCTTTATCCCCTGCACATAATTCCATATAAAATTAGGCACAGAGAGTGTCACTGGAGCCTCCACTGTGCCCCCAGAGTCTAGCAGAGTGCACGGCATAGAGCAGGTGTGAGATAAAGATTCGTGAATAGAAACACCCGTGAGCCACTGAACCCTTCAGGGAATCTTGTGTGCTTTCAGGGAACCAGTGCCCAGAAAAGGGGCCGTTTCAGCGCCCTGGGGGTGGCAGCACCTAGAAACATGCCGCCGAGAGGAAGCTCTGACACGGTGACTGTCTAAGTCTGTGCTGGGGATCCCCTGGGGGTTGGGGCAGGAGGGGAACCAGAGTTCCTGCTTCTGGGCTCTGTTCCCAGGCAGATCTCAGAGCCAGGGCTTTCAAACTGGATCAGTGGCCCTGGGCCAGCTGACAACTAGGAGCGCATTCATGTGTTAAGAGCACACCAGGGAATTCTTGGCCACGGGGCCTCCCCCGTTCCCATGGCAGGTGAAGTGAGACAGAGGGCGCAAACCACCCCCAACCCAGGTGACAAGGTCAGGGCCTGGCTCTGCTGGCTGAAACCATTAAGTCCCCGTGCTGGTGGGACAGCCAGAAGCAGGGCCAGGACCCCTGCCGGGGAACGGGGTGGAGCAGTGGAGGAGGAAGGCGGTGCCCACCCCTGAGCTGAACAGAATGGGAGCCCTTCAGCATCAGAGGGACTGGGCTCTGCACCCACTGGCGCTCAGAAAACTTCCACGGCAGTGGAACGGGCATCGTTGCAGTCAGAGCAGCAGCTACCTTTTATTGATGCTCAATGTGCCTGGCAGAACTGAGCATGGCCGGGCAGGGATGACCAATCGCATTTTACAGACGAAAGATAAAAATGAAGCTCAAAGACTTCAGAGTTCTGTTCCAGGCTGCACTGCTAGTAAGTGACAGAGTCAAGATTGAAACCCAAGTCTGTCTGCTTCCCGATCCTTAACACTAGGCCACAGAGATGCCAGCAAATTATGCCTGAGTCCCAGTTCCTCCATTCTAAGATGAGAAGGCTGAGGCCGGCCACTGGCCCGAGGTCACACAGCGGGGTCAGGACAAGCTATATCTTTCCTAAGGAACAGGGGTGGTTATGGGATAACGGAGGAACAAAACGTTTGGGGAATCTCAGATCAGTACAAATATTAGGGATTAGATGTCCTCACGGGAGAGGAGGACCCGCAGATGCCTTGAGGTCTTACTGATATGCATCATTCCTAAAGGCACAGCATTTTGTGAATCACCTCATCCAGGGGTTTTCATATTATGCTCCTGATAGGATTTGCCCAGGACTTAAGGGCTTCCTGGGACACAGGACTCTCATTCTAAACCTGAGAGGGTCCCGGGTAAACTCAGACAACTGGTCATCCAATCTCCTGCAGAGCAGTGAGCAATAATGAGTGAAGGTTCTCCAGTCCCCAGTCCCAACTCTGATCCCCACTAACAACTACAGCTTCTCTATTTTTATCTGTTTTTACATTATAGGGTCTGTCTACACATTCTGCTTAAGGAAAAGTGTTCTGTGGCTGAACAAGGGTTTGAAAAACATTGTTCAAGCCATCACTTTCCTGATGCTCCTCGTCAGCCAAAGCCCAAGAGGTTCACAGACTCAGCGTTTTCAGGTGAGTCTAAGAAGTTAGACAGAATTTCACTGGTGGTGGTGGGGCTGCGCAAAAGCCACCCAGATGAGCTCCAGGGGTCGGCGGTGCTGACCCCCTAGGCAGGGCTGGCTGGGTTTCTGAGTCCATCACCACTGCTCTTCCAATCAGCAAGTGTGTCTCAAAGAGAAGTGGAAAGATCCTAAGTGTGAACCTCTTTTGAACTGTGAGAGCTTTGTGGATGGTTTCTGAAGTCCTGTCCAGCACTGACTTCCTACAATCCTAGACTCTGATGGCGTTACACCCCCAAACCTTTGGCTCTCGTCTCTATACACAGAAGCCTTCTTACTATGAACACATGTGACTCTCCGCCCAAGGTTGCTTTTTCTGGTGTTGACAGCACATTCAACCATGTTCAGAGTAAGCCAGAAGTGCCAGAGAGTATTAACTCGGCCCTTGTAAATGTCCCTCAACCAAAATGAATGGGGAATTGGTAGACAAACAGCCCAACCTCCTTGCCGCTCAGTGGGCAAACTCCCCAGCAGAGCTGAGCCCAGCTGCCCACCGTAGTGACTTCTCAGTAACGCGCCCTTTACTGCCTTCCTCCCCTTTCCCTTTCCCACTCCCCTGCTGGTAAGTTCAGTAACCACATCCCAAAGATGACTACTTGCCCTAAATTCTCCTCAAGGTCTGCTGCGAGGGGCGCACCAACCAGAAATAGATCCTGTGACATGTTGAATGGAAACAGCAATGAAGGGAAGGGGAGCGGAGCCCACAGCAATTCTATGGGAAACACACTACGTAAAATAAAGTTCAGGACTTGGTCAGGCCAACAGGGATTGGGAGTCACCCTGAACAATGCACCAAATTTATAATTCACTTAAATATAATATAAAGGACTATATTAAAAGAAATGAATATGCAGCTGTTTGCAGAATGTAAAGGGTTCCACTGGTGCTTTTAAGACCTATGATTAGATGAATAAGAGCTACTTACTTATAAAAGGCCTGGTTCTCCACCCCACACTTCCAAAGATGTTTGCAGGCAGCTGGTGTTGAAGTATGGAATGCCAACATGGCTTTTTTCTAATAAAAAAAATAACAAAACAAGAAAGGGCATGTTAAATACTGTTTATTTTTTATGTTTTTCCTTCAAGAATTTACCTATTTGCATCCCGCCGCCTACCAAACAGATTTGAAGTAACTTACGCATTACTATGTACTTAAAAATGTTGCTGAAATGGTATTCCCCCCGCCCTCTGCTGTTAGTCATAGCAGACATTACTAACTTAACCAGGACCCGTTTCTTTTCTTTTTTTTTATTTTAACATATGTTACTGTTACTTTTTTAATTTTACAAATAAACGGGTCCTACGTT